GGTATTTACCTATATTTCCCTAATAAAACTGAACTGAACTGAACTGAACTCCAGAATGATAAGTTGGACCTCAGGCATGTTGAAGTAGACGACCTCCTAACCACCACTTCAATATTTCGGAAAATTCAAGAAACCTGCAATTTGGTAATCGGGTTTTTCCCCAATAAGTTAAACGATAATACAGATTTGGAAAATCTACAGATGTAAATCAACAACACTTCTAAATACAGTAATATAAAAATGCCTTTAACATTTATTAAAGTACATTCCACTACTTGTCCTAATTCCCCACGTATAAAACCTTATAACCACCGTTTTCGTAGGAAAACATGCAGGGACTAGGGATTAATCAGTGGGCCTACACAAGCTACTGTTGTCGTTTTTAGTTTACTTTAACTTAGAGTTTAGTTTTGTCTAGTGTTTAATTGAGTATTCAGTATTATTAATTTTATTTTAGTTTAATTTAGGTCCTTGCGTAGCTCCACAATTTGCGCAGTTTCACAATTTTTGAAGTTCTTGTTTCGTATTGGTTGTATTTTTCATTTTAATTATCGGACGCTAATTTGTTGCCAAACATTAGGTTATTGAATTTTTTTCCTTTTATACGCTCTAATTTTTAATTAGTTTTTTTCTTTCCCTAATAGACACCACAAATTTAACCCCTATTGTCACCAGTTCCGTATTAGAGAATGCTGGGGGTTTTGCTTGCTGTAGTGAGCCCGAACCCGAACTGTCACTGGCGGAGGTATCATTCATTTGACTTTAAAAGTTGTCCGATAGTACCTCCGTCGCCAACTTCGAGGACCACCTGAACTTAACTAAGACTAAATGCACAGCATCTGCCCTTCTCTACCTCTCACCTACTCAGCAATGCTATGACTGCTAGCCGCTACGACTGCTGTCCGGACCCGAGAAATGAGGCCCAAAGCGGTGCGGGAAAAGTGAGTTCCATTGGCGGTCGGTGAACGTTCATCAACCTGCCTTTGTACTGTACGCAAATTTCAAACCCCACGTATCCGAATACAACCAGTGCTGCGTATGATGTAGCGTAGTCTTCCAGGTAGTACAACTGTTGGCAGCGCTGATGGTGATTTCGCCTTCAAGATAACAGGCAACCTCACGGTGGCAGGATTGCGTGCAGACATAAATAAAAATTAAACTAGAGCACTGAAACTACCATCTGCGTCGTTATCTACGCACCAGTGCTCCCTACTCAGGAGTCAGATTCTTCTTGTTCTACTCGCGAAGATGCAGAACTCTCCGAGGTAATGGCCTGGAATTATTCCGGTGTACAGTCTTTTGCCTTTTAACTCCTCCTCCCCGTCATAAAAGCAAGCAAGACTATTAGGATACCGGAAGCGGTTTATGTTTGAGTTATCGCTGCCAGTCAAGCGTCCCAGAAACCGGCTAGTAAACCAGAAAGGGGAAAGCTACATTGGTGGGTGTTCCTTCACCTAGGGGGAAAAAATAAACAGTCAAAGTTAATTGGGCACCGGCTTACTTCGTTTCTGTGTTCAAGTTCTGCTCTCAGTGGCATCCGCTAAGTGTCACATTTACGATGATATTACGTCCTGTGGAAAGCGTTTTATGATCGTTTTTGATAAGTTCCGGTAAGGATTGATAGGACTCCCTAAAGAGGACACGATAATAGGAGCGCCTCTGCAAGTAATAAAAGTGGCTTTGCCACGAAGGGCAAATACGCCCGTGTCTGAACCCTAACAGAAATCTAACCCATAGTTCTAATCTTAATCCCCACTTTACCCTCAAACCTTGATCCTACAGGTGCCACTAACCTTACTACTACCCTAACACAAACCTTCAACCCAACCATAAATGGAACCCTAAACCTAACACTGTTTTCCCCCGAAATTTAGCACAGGCATCTTTATTGT